AAAAAAAAAAAAAAAAAAAAAAGAAAATGCAATAAAAATGAAACATGTGTTTTTATAAAGTCGCGGTGGAATTCAACGACACGGTGGAAGGTTCAGAGACACCCGTTATATAAATCTGGTCGCTGGATCAGCTTAAACGCTCCTCGGGGCGAACTTTTACAAGACACGCATTCGTTATCCATTAGGGTAAGTATAGCACGTGTGGTGGGTTCTGGCCGGTGTTACCAGAGCCGAGTATACGATATTCATGCTCTCGCAAGCCATTCTGGCCGGCGTGTGTAAACGGCGGGCATAATTGAATTATCATTCGAACCGCATGAAAGACAGCTAAAGCCCGGCCCCGGTAATGAGCGAAATAAGCGTACAACCCGCTCTCGGCCAAGCGGTTTCAAAATAACCCCTCTATATTTAGGCAACAATGGACGCCGATAAAAGCTGCTACGATATTTCTCCTCCAGCTTCCGCCGCTTGCCACTTTTCGCCGACGAAATAACATTATCGAAAGTAACGTGAAATTCTAATACCGCAGGTAAAGCAAGCTAAACATTCAGTCCTACTATCTTCCTTGCTGGTTTCCATATTTTTACGAATAACACTTCCATCTACTAAATATCGTAGCTTTGGATATTAGTCTTGGATACTTTACATATCTTTGCATGTACTATTTTTTCCCCATCTTTATCTTCAAATTTCCCATAAACAGGAAAAGAGAAAGAACGAAAACCTCATGCGCAAGTGTACCGTAAGTTTCCAAATGTTGCAAGTTTCCAAGGGATATATCGCACGATACAACGCTAGTTTCTGCTTTTATCCGTCTCAACGGATACGAGATATTCAAATAAGCCAATCCCTACGGTACCTTATTAATGGAAGTTTAATTGCACGTGGCGATGCTAATTAATAATCCTCCCCCCTCGATCTCCAATAAATCAAGTTAATTTTCAATTTGATTAATTCCAGCGGCCGTTCGAGTTAATTTCTTGAAAATAATCGGCACAACATTTAATTAAGAGTTTCGCACAAATGTAGCGTAACAATCGCGGATTCAACGGGCCGGAAGTTCGTTCGAGTAGCATCGAGTAACTCCCTTTCACCGTAATAAATAGTACGTTTACGAAACAGCACGATCTGCGAAGAGAATCGCGTTATTAATCAACGATTACCGAAAGCTTCTTAAAAAAAAAATACAACAAGCAAATGAACAAGCTGAGAATTATTTTCATAAAAGTCACGAGAAAGTTACGTACCATTTTCATGCGAAAGAAACCAACGAAGATCGTAGCAAGTTGTCCTCTCGGCATTAAAAAAATTCCTAAGCCCCTCTCTCTCGGTAAACCTTTTCTCTCACAGATGTTTGAATCAAGATTACGACATTCTTGCTTTTTCTCGTTCGCCGGGTGAAGATTAAAAT